CGATTCAAACATTCCTCGGCGTTTCCAAACGGCAAAATTTTGGAATCACGATTTTCTAACAATTCCGATCGATTCCATGCGATTCTGATTATGATTCTGATCCGATTCCAAAGCGGGAATCGTATTTTTCCGTACAACATAGCTCTTAACAGCTTTACTACATCCGTCCCGGAGAAAAATGGAACTTTAAAAATTTTAGATATTTTTATGAATCGAAAAAATAGTTTGTGTGGTTTTCTGACAACGCTAAAAGTTTATGTGTGTTTCTTCCAAAAATTAAATAGTTGAGGTATTTTTTTGACAATTTTTCTCGATAATAAAGTGATTTAAATTACCTTTCTTCTGCTAATATGTATATTTCTGGTTAGTGAATAGAAAACTTCACTTTTTTGTTTTTCGACATAAACAAAAAGAAACACAAAAACAAAGGAAACACACAAAAACAAAAAATTTATGTAGGTAAACGACAGCGTTTCGATGGCCCGAGTCGTCCTGAAGAGCAATCCATATTTTAGTCGCGAGTTCTGGAGAGACTAAACCCATTACTCAAGAAAAGCTAGAAAAACAAATTTGTTGACAGAACATTCGCTTTCACGAAATCTGAGATCCACCAGAAGAAGAAGGGTTCGAAGAGGATGAGCGACGTCGACGATGCCGTTAGACGCCGCACCGCCGCGGTTGCCGATTACCGGAAGAAGCTCCTCCATCATAAAGAGCTCGAAGCCCGTGTTCGAACAGGTTACGATTCCTCGACTCCTATTTTTGAATATGCCCAGATTTCAATTTCAACCTGATTCTATCTCTCTGTTGAATTTGCACTTAAATCCAAAAACTTTGAGTGAGTTGAATCTAGGGCTCGTACCATTCTCAGTTTATATTGCTATCTGTTTCGTTAAATTAAGCTCCTTTTAGGTGACGCGACTCTAGGGTTTTTTCTCAATTTGCTTAATTCTGGTGTGTTCTCTTGATTGGTGAAGAAGAAGATCTGAAGTTTTTTGATGTTTCTCTCTGTGACTACTCTCCTCTAGAGTTTCTATAAGCAGATGACTCGAGTTTTGTTAAAGTAGATGACTTGTGATTTTTAAACACTGATTTTTTCTGGTCTTGCAGCTAGGGAGAACTTAAGAGCAGCTAAAAAGGAATTCAACAAAACTGAGGATGATTTAAAGTCTCTTCAAAGCGTTGGGCAGATAATTGGAGAAGTGCTTCGACCTCTCGATAATGAAAGATGTAATAATCTTTCGACTCTCTACCTAGTACCCCTTTTTAGTTTCTGAGAGATTATTAGCTTATGTCAGTTTTTCTGATGTCTGAAGCTAAACATCTTGCATTGATTTGTTTGTTTTAGTGATTGTGAAAGCGAGTAGCGGACCACGGTACGTGGTGGGCTGTCGTAGCAAAGTGGATAAGGAGAAGTTGACCTCGGGAACTCGAGTTGTTCTTGATATGACAACACTAACGATAATGCGAGCACTTCCCCGAGAAGTAAGTTCATTTTGGACATGTGTTTGGGTTCTCTTGTACCTCCGTAGTGTATTTCTCTTGACAATAATGTGGGTTTCATTGTTAATTTTAGGTCGATCCCGTTGTTTATAACATGCTCCACGAAGACCCTGGCAACATTAGCTACTCTGCGGTGGGAGGGTTAGGTGATCAGATCAGAGAACTCAGGGAATCTATTGAGCTACCTCTCATGAATCCTGAACTTTTCCTCAGAGTAGGAATCAAACCCCCAAAGGTAGTTATTGTGTATATTCTCCCTTTTAGTCCTTTCTTTTGTTGCCTCAAAACATTCCACTTTTTTAGTTTCTATCATGTTTTGATTAATATCGTGGATGCTACATCTAAACGCAGGGAGTCCTTCTGTATGGACCACCGGGTACCGGAAAAACTCTACTAGCTAGGGCTATTGCCAGCAACATCGATGCCAACTTCTTGAAGGTTTAGTTCTGTGCTATGCTGATTTAGAGATTTGTAAGTTATGGCATATCATGAGGTTCAATCAAATCTGTTTCCTTTCATCAGGTTGTATCAAGTGCAATCATCGACAAGTACATTGGAGAAAGTGCTAGGCTGATTCGGGAGATGTTTAACTATGCACGTGACCATCAGGTAAGCCTTGCCTTTTATGGGTTTATATATGCATCTTCCTCCTCATCAAATTCTTGACTTTGTTATAAACTTTTTTCCTATGGCTAGCCTTGTATCATATTCATGGATGAAATCGATGCTATTGGTGGGCGTCGTTTTAGTGAGGGAACTAGTGCTGATCGTGAAATTCAAAGAACACTGATGGAGTTACTTAACCAGCTTGATGGTTTTGACAACCTCGGAAAGGTACTGCTCTCTATTTCTGAAGTTATATCTAGATCAAACTTGGTGTACATGTACATAAAGTTGTGTTGTGAAGTTATATGTTGAGTCATTTGAGATCTGTTGGATACATTGATCGGATTGTGTCTCTTCCTAACTTCTGTGTCACACAATTGCTTATACACTGCTATGAAATGTCTGTTAGTGTGAATGAATGTGTTTTAACTTAGTTTGGGAAACTGTATTAGGTGAAAATGATAATGGCCACGAACAGGCCCGATGTGCTTGATCCTGCGCTTCTCCGTCCTGGTAGATTAGATAGAAAGATTGAGATCCCTTTGCCAAATGAACAATCAAGAATGGATATCCTCAAGATCCATGCAGCTGGTATCGCCAAACATGGTGAAATTGATTACGAGGCTATTGTCAAACTTGCAGAGGTTAGTTTTTTTTTCTCTTACAATGCTGAGTTAGTGAGATTGAGTTTCTCACTAAATGTTTCTTTTGTCCAAAAAAGGGTTTCAATGGTGCTGATCTGCGGAACATATGCACGGAAGCTGGAATGTTTGCAATCCGAGCAGAGCGTGACTATGTGATCCATGAAGATTTCATGAAGGTATGTATATATAGATATGAGATTTGGTTCCATCTTGGTGTAATCTTTTTGTTGCGAGTTTGAAATGAATCAAAAAAATTTCAGGCGGTGAGAAAGCTGAGCGAGGCCAAGAAACTCGAGTCGAGTTCACACTATAACGCTGATTTTGGAAAAGAGTGAACTCTCTTCTCATTGCAATGGCAGTTTCTATTATTTGTTTTCTTTGTTTATGGCAAAAACTTATTTGTTTTAGCTTTTGAGGAGCAAAAGCTTGTGAAAGTGTGTGCTTAACTTATAGTAATTTTACGCTTCAAGCATTTGCCTCTTTTCTTGTTGGCCTAAGTAAGTGACTGTTCTTGTTGCGTCTGGACTCCAAACCAAAAGAGTTCAAACTTGAAAAAAAAAAATTGTCCTTTACATACATATCAAGAACGCAAAATACATTTGTAGATGAACAAGCATTAAAGTAACAACCAATTATTTAGTTAAGAGGTTGTAAAAAAATTACTAATTATTTACGAAGTATATACTCTTAAAGACGATATATCAAACCTCGGGATGTTCTTAATGTGCATGCATCACATATAAGTAACTACTATTTACAGTAGGCTTGGACACGAAACAAGTATTTGCTAAATTTTATGTACTTGTTACTTGACTTGATTCGTTTAACTAATTAGATTTATTACTTTTACTTAATTCAATTATAACAAGTACTCCTTATTTCAAGTACTCGTAAAAATTTTGAATACTTGATATTTAAATCTTAAATCTGAAATACTTGATAGTTAAATCTTGAGTGTATATCAAGAGAAGCTCTAAATAGAGAATGGTAAGTTACAATTGGATTTTTGGACTTTAATATCAAAGGTTCATGTGTATGTAATCATGGATCTTAAGGCCACCGTACAATTTGTAACAAATAGAATTTTTTAAAATTTTGATAATTTTTGAGCTTAATCTTTGGATTTTAATATATGTTATAGATTTTGTTATTAAAATTAAATAAATAATAAGTATTTAGTAACAAATAACAAGTATTTATTTTAATAAGTAACAAGTATCAAATAATAAGACAAGTAATAACACAAGTATTAAAAATAAACATAATACTTGAAACTTGACCGGTACTTACAAATAATAAAATTTGTTGATTTGTTATTCGATTTGAAAATAATAAATATTTGTTTTATTAAACTGAATAAGGGGACAAGTAACGAGTACGGGACAAATAGTAAGTATTTATGCCCTGGCGGAATTTACAAAGCCAGGCTTGAGTCTGAGTGACGCGAGGAAAATTACAATATTTTACTGTCAACTATGTATACATTATCAAATATTTTTCACCGTTTGAAACAAAATGGAAAACATTATATCATTTGACTACTCAAAAGGGAAGAGTTGTGATGGTTCCAAATCCGAGTGGCAAATACTAAGTGGTGTTCTAGACTCTAGTCCCTGACATATCAAGATTTGTAGTCTAGACCACCCAAAACATCTTAGTAAACAAAAATTTATTTCGAAACATAACTATCAAAATATGTCTATAGTAGATTATGATCTAGACGTAGAAGAAAAAAGATTATGATCTAAGTAAATGTAACGCAAGTTTATCATTTTCGTCGATTTATGCGGCAACAAATTTTCCAGGATTTAATTTGTTTAAGAATTAATTGTTTATCCTTTTACTGGTCAGGATTTAATACCACCTTATAAAAGTTTTAGCATGCCGAAAATTTGTACGTCGTAAATCACCAAACAGCTGGGATTAACTGTATTCTACGCTTAAAAATGATTACTGAATTTTATCTAAATACATTACAGTTTACTTGCAATGGTACACAAAACAAAAGAACTCAACACACAAAAACTTTCTTTAGTTCCCTAATCCCTATGCAATGAAAAAGTGAAGAGTTTTAATTAGCACTGAATTTCCAAGCTTAACTTTTTGACTTTTACCTCCCTAATCATTTACTAATCATCTCTTCGCATCATTATAAAAAGAAGCACCACGTATCAAGTTCTCCTCTCAAAGCTTCTAATATCATCAAATATTTTTGTTTTCAAATCATACAAACAGAGAATTCCCAAAATGCCGATCCTAACTCCAGTCATAAAACTCGTCGTTTTTAGGCAAAGTCTTCGACCACATTCTGCGGTTGCATTCCTTGTCGAGTTCCTCTGCTTCGTCTTAGAGCTACTCGACAAGGAGAAAGATCTAGCCAAGATATTCGGCATCGTGTGTGCTTGCGACACATTAATCTTCACATTGCTCGATTTAATCCAAAATTTGATCCAAGAAAAAGTAAAAATACGAAGATTTGGCCGAGTGTTTTGGCTATACAAAAACGATGGGAGTCTCTATTGGCACACTTTAAACGCTTACCTATTGATGTTGAGCATTGTTCACGTCATCGGTTCTGCGATCTCTTATAGTTCTCGTCGACACTATTTGGTATTGCTCCCACTTTTTGCTGCTGGCCTTGAACTCGTCCCGCAAGATGCCTATAACGTTCTTGGCAATGATCAAGAACATAATGGGCAGGATCAAAAATCTCGAGAATTTATTGGGCCTATTAATGACCCATTATATGGTATTGAGCTTGAGCAAGGCGATGGAGCTGGTACAAAGGTGGAGCAAGAAGTTGGTGATCATGCTTAAGGCTATACAATGGAATAAAAGCTAAAATGACATCGTGTCAGGTTATATGTGTCAAGTTATATAAGATTTTATGTACTCTGTCTTAGAAATTTATGTACTTGTCGACGTTGTCGTCGTACGACTCCGAAGACAAAAGCGTTGTACGGGGAAGTAGTAATGTTTTGGTCCTTTTGGAAGATTATTTACGAATAAAAATATGAAAAGGGAAACTTCTAAAATAATAGAACAACAAAATTTTTACTACTACTGTAATTGTAATACGTCAATGTTTGCATATTTAGAACAATATTTGTATTATATTTTAATTTTACTGATGCTTAACTGTGTTTTTATTTTACGACATTACAGAGAGTTATGGGAAGTCCCCCAACACAAATTTTTTTTCTTAAAGTCCTCCAACACACAACTCTTTTCAGAACCATGTAATATGTTTTTTTTTTTTTTGGCTTGGAGTCACAAATTGTAACTATTTGTATAACTGTTTTTTTATTTATGAACTAGGTGGAGACCCGCGGAATACGCGGATTTGCGAGGCCCATGAAACTGAATACTTATTTTTTTATATAATATTAAAATGCTTATATATTATAGAAACTTTTAATTTTGGAAGAACATTCATAGTCATAAAATTGATTAGTTGGATAATTGTATTTTTTTAAAAAGTCATTAATTCTGCAAACAGTGTACTTTATTTGTTTTATGTTTGATTCTTGACAATAGGACAATCATTAATAGAAAAAGGATAAATAAACCAAAATGTCATTTAATAAATAATTAAATAAACTATTTAAATAGTAAAAATCTAAATCTTAAAAAAAAAATATCGTTTCCTTACATTCTGAAAGACGGCTTCGTATACAATGTTCAAAGTCTTGGTTTGTGGCTGACCCATTGTATCCGTTATCAGAATTTTCAAACCAGCTCTTGAAGTAACACGTGATATAGCCACATAAAGTTGTCCATGGGAAAATACTGGTTTTGGTAAATACAAGTCAACCTTTTGCAAAGTCTGTCATTGACTTTTATTAATAGTCATTGTATAGGCGATAGCTACAGGAAATTGTCTACGCCTCATTCTAAAATAAAATCTTTTCTCTGTTGGGGAAACAAACATTCGTGGGATCAAGACTTTTTGACCAATATATTCTCCAGTTATGTGGGTAGCTTGAATAACATGTTTGGCCAACTGTGTTACCAAGAGTCTTGTTCCATTGCATAAACCACCTTTAAGGTCAATATTCCGAAGCAACATAATAGGTGTCTCTATTTTCAATTTCAATTCATGGTTCGGCAATCCTGAAATCTTAATACTATTAAGATATTCCTGTGTGTAAACTTTTTCGTCAATTTTGCCCTTATCAGAAGTATCAATGCTGTCCGAGCTTAAATATGTATGTTCCTCAGCTAGAAAAATGTTTTACGAAGTTCAGTTGATCACGTTATGAAGCTAATGTGTATGATCGTATGTATAAAGCGTTAAATATGTTTACCTTGTATTTCTTACAACATGTATTCGTTTATTAATCCTACGTCTGCATTTCTCGGGCTAAGAATTGCTCTATCTTAAAAAAATTTTGGATCTTTCTGATCTGTATGAATCACCATACATTTCTCTTACTATCTCTTTAACAGGATCAACACATTATTTTATCAGTAAATCGTCAGGGATTTCAATCTTGGCTTCATCGTTGTCAGTCGAAATAATTTTGCCGTCTCCTACATCTAAAATCCACTTTGAAAAGGCCTCTAGCTCATTAACGCGATCACCTCCAGCACCATTTTGAAACCTCATATTCTTGGTTAGTTCTAAAACCGTACAATTGTCCCATAAAGTAGAAGAATTTATGGTAGCCAGAAGAGTTTGGGTGCTATTACCTCCTACAATAACAGGCAATATTTGCCTGAAATCTCCTCCGAATACAATGACTTTCCCACCAAAAACGTCATCATTTTTTAGTATATCACGCATACTTCTATCTAGAGTTTCAATACAATATTTTCTCATCATAGGAGCCTCGTCCCATATGATTAGCTTTGCTTCTCTTATCAGAGCAGCCTGAGGTGAATTGCTATTTATTGAGCACATTGTTGTTGAATCAACAGCAATCGGGATGCCAAATTGTGAATGTGCAGTTCGGCCTCCTTGTAACAGCAATGATGCTATCCCGCTAGACGCAACGTTAAGAACTATCATGCCTTCAGATCTAAGAGCAGCACCAAGAATACTCCATAAAAAAGTTTTACCCGTTCCGCCAAAACCATATACAAAAAACATACCACCATTATTGTTGTTCATTGCTCCAATATGATCATATATACTCTTTTGTTCATCGGTGATGGTTTTCAACATTTCTCTATGTGCTGCACGTAACTTATCACGATCATAACTTTTTTTTCGAGAATCAGAGGATTCTTGTCTTTTTCGAATGAAACATCATCTGGTCGAGGCATTGTGTCAAAATTCTTTAAAGTGCTATCATTTCGACGCATGTATTTTTCTATCTTAAACAATGTGTGATTCTTCAACTGCATATCAAACATAATCAAATCTGCAAGGTAAGAAAATATATTTATCTATTAGAATATGAGTAATCATTTATAGAAATATATGAAAAAACGTTTAGGAAATTTACTTTGATTCTTTTGTTTTTTTTTCATCTTGTATAAGATATCTTCGGTAAGATATTTCCACGTTGAATTCCAAAGATCTTGAGGTGCAGTGACAGAATTAGAAGCCAGAATAATAGCAAATAATCGGTGCAAGAACTTGCCAGATGCCCATAAATTTGCTTTCTTAATAGCCTCAATATACTCTTTATCATCAGCAAGCAATCCTAAAGCATAACATGCATCTTTAAATTTAGGATGAATAACTCCATCCACTTTGAATAATCCTCAAAGCTTTTCAGACACTTGACAATGTTAAGCAACACTCTTAGATGGTATGCTTCTATATAAGAAGGTGGCACATACGTAATTCTCCCAATAGCAAAACCTGTTTTCCGTAATTTCCAGGATCTGGTTTTTATTACCCAAACAAACATAGTTGGAAATTTATCATATGTCAAGTTGGCAGCCTCCTCAAAATGATTATTTGCCTCAAACCAAGCTAGAAACTTTGACCGTGCAACTGATGGACGATTAATTACTTCTTCAACGGGATCATCTTCATTATAGACAACAAACTGTTGATTAGGTAAATGAAAAGACAATTGTACAACTGCTGTGGTACAAAAATGGGTAGGAAAAGCTAAAATCCTCCAACTGCTTTCGTATGGCGACAGATACCTTAATATTTAGAAAATTTGTTAAAATAATTGTTAATAACATGGAATAATATAGATGTGTAGTTGAAATATAACTGACCTGCAATTTAAGAATCTTTGGACCTCATCATCAACTTTAACTTCTTCGCCATTTTTCTCAACTTTAGCTTGTATGTAATCTGGACCCTTACTAATATATTTGAACATATTGAATCGATCTAGTCTGATTACACCACTCAATATTAATATGAGTACGAAATCGCAGTGAGAGGTTTTTGTTATAGGGAACCACATATCTGTTGTTAAGTTCAATTCCCTTTTTGGTGATAACCAAACCGTCAGGTCTTCGCTTGTATATTGGAAAACCAGTATCGTCAATCTTCGTGATTGAACTAAAAGGTTTTGGATAGAACTTAGTCCACGATCCATCCTGCATGCACACATTGTTCTTATTTAACTCACCGCATGGTCCATGTAGCATTGAATCACTTATCACTTCGTAAATATGAGGTTCTAAATCCTTATCAGGAATCTCTGCGGAAATAAACTTGTCAATGCCATCCCCGGTTGAGACTTTAGACTCTGGATCCAAGAAAAATATAATATGTGCATGCAGTAAACCTCTCTTCTGAAACTCAATTGTGTACATTGCTGAGCCGAGGAAAAACAAAAAATCAAATAAGTTATAGAGAAGCTTGTAAAAAAAAAGCTTAGTATTTTTTTTAATTAATTTTTTTTTAAATATTTAATATATTGAAAATACCTGAATTTACTTTTTCCAATACTTCATCTTCGGATAAATAGTCCATAAGATTGTCCAGCTTCAATTTGAATACTCTACAACAGAGATCTGGCCTATCTTCTATGTTTAAATTATGTTTTTGCAAATATCTTGTAATCTCTGGCCACTTAGGATTACACGTTATTGTAATTAAAAAAAAATCTGGATATCCATAGTACTTGCATACAGCCATTGCATCCAAGTAGTGTTGCATCATATACCTGGGACCATCGGTTAATGAAGATGGAATGAAAATTCTCCTACCTTGCTCCGCAAGATTAGATTCACCTTTTTCAGCAGTTAAGACAATCTTATCATAATGATCTAAACGAAGATTATTCTGGTTCAGCCAAATATATCGCAACCTGTTAGATTCGATCATTGTATAAGTGTCCACTAAAAATTGTTGAAAAAGTCTTCCAGACATCATAATAATAGGAGATTCTCCCAAACGCTCGTGGATTCGGAAAGCGATGAACTCACGCATAGTAACATGCTTTTGTTTTTTACCCTCCATGTTAATAAAACCAATATCAATACCTAACATGAATCCATCTTCACCATATGGAAACAACAATGGGTATTGCAATGGTAGATAAGTTGGATGCAACTCACTGATCCGTTGAAATTCACCTTTATTACTCTCTATTATAACATCACGCTTATCTTTATCACCACTAAAGTCACCAGATATTAGTGCGGCGACCTCATTTTCGGTTAGAAGATTATGAGTTCTACCATCGGTCGCTCTACCGCTTCTGAGTACCAGGCGCATACCATTCAAGTCAGGTCTCATTGAAAGCCTATCACGAGCTGTTCTAAATGCTTTGACATGAGTATTATGAGGTCCAACATTTTTTTCAATTCCTCGACTATTTCCTCTCTTAGACCATTGGGCGTCCCATCATTACTGCATAATAGGTAAATGATTTAGTAATTTAGTAGATAGAATTTAGAACTTTAAAATCTGGATTGTAGACGTTAAATGAAAAATACCTAAAATGAGCCATACGATTTTTTGTTTCATTGAGCTGCAAGAAAGCCGGTTGTTTACCAGTAGCTGGTATCATATCACATATTCTATGATAATTTTCACCACACAGCTGAAACATGTATGGCCCATAACCTTTGTTGATATTATTATTCACTTTTCCACCAAGAGATGTATAGGAAAACATCATATTGTATGTCCGAATGTTCTCACGAAAATGTGTTTGAGTATCACCTTTGTTGTAAAGTAAAGAGAGTATTGTATTCGGTGGTTTTTTAAGAAGAGTTAGAGTTACTTTTCCCTTATGACTACACATCGTGAAAACAGGGATTCCTTTAATGCGCCTTTTATTTATTCTTTCTTCAAACCACATGTATGCATTGCAATGACTACACATATAAGCTTGATCACCTTCATCATAATAGCTTATGTAGATTGAATATGAAATATATTAGTAACTCGTTTATTCGAATATATGGTTTTGAAATAGTATAGATTAGATATTGTAAAAAAAGTTACCATTGGTAGCCAATCCAATATCAGCAAAATCAGAACAGTCGGTTTGTAAAAATTGTTGATTATTTGTAACTTTATCAGCTGTATCTTGTTATTTAGATAATCTTTCTTTGTGATGAGTGTCTTCATTTTCAGACTCATCATCAGTTGCAACAAAACAGACGAAATCATCTATTCCGTCTGGTTTGGGTAAGATATCTGGTTAAATATTTTAATATAATATGTCAGACACAGAGGGAAAATTTATACAAAATTATATTTCGAGGTAGATGAAGACTAACCTGCGTTTTGATGATTATGACGTGCTCTTTTTGATCGCAAAATTTTATCCTTGTTTTCCTGGCCATTTGACAACGTTTTCTTTTCAAGGTAATATCATCTCCAGATTGGTTGAACATGGTATCTTCTGGTGCATATTGCTGGCTTCTCGAAAGTAAACCTGCATAACCGAATAACTAATCTTTTAAATACTTGGTATTAAGATATCTTTATTCAATGAGATAGAGTTAGTAATAATAGTGTTCCTAAACCAATATATGAATAGTAGGGGAGTTCGATTATTTTGAGGTTTTTTTTGCCATTACATTAAAGACAAATCTATACTATTAAAATTAAAATATTAAAGATAAGAAAACTTTTTATTATTTAGGAAAAGAGAATCAACGACATAATAATTTAGGGGAAGATAATAAAACTTTTAATGAATTAGGAAAAGAGAAACAATGAGAGAATAATTTAGGGAAATAACTTATTAATGAAAACTTTAATTAGAGAAATAGGAGATGTCGAACGGAGTTCCGAATGCCATCGAGTCTTTGAGAGAACCAGTTTGTAAAAGAGTAGCAAACATGATTTTTAAAAGCATGAGCAGTGCCTCATTGACTTGCTTGAATAAATGCATAGACATATTCTTGATCACCATTAGACTGCTCGTGATGTGGATCTAGAACACAATCCGACTCGTTTTGATTTGAGTCACCTGTCCAACAGATGAAAACAATAGATAAGAGAATAAACAATAAATAAGAGAATATGCTGAGTATGTTAGTTTTTAAAATTAAATTTTTGTAATCAGTTTAAATTTGTAAGAAACTAATAAAAAACCAATTAATCACAATTATTTTTAAGAATCACCTGTTAGATCCATTGTTTGAATCACCTGTTTGAATCAATAAGCTGTATTTTGCAGGATGATACCTAGGTTTAAGAAAAAATAAAGAAGATGAGGTTAATTTATCAAGGTCGACAAAAATAAAGATGCTATCTTTACAAAACTCGAACATAAGAAAATATGGTAATGTTATCTCTGCACATCTCGCTATGAAAAGAAGCAATGAATACAGAGATAACAATCTTCTAACGAAAAAGAAAATTAAAAAGACGCTGCTGAAAAAAATTAAGAAGAGGAATTAGACCTCAGAGAATGGTGAGTTAGTTGTTGTAGGTGAAAAACATATGTATTATATAGTGTATGATAGATGTTTTAAGGTTTATTTAATTTTTTTCGGTGGCTTTTTTAACAGATTCGGTGAATTAAACAAAACCGATGATCCATTAATTAATTTGATGGCTCGTAATTGATAGAAAATCATATTAACCATAGTGACACGTAGGATTAATAATAATCCAATTAAAATTAAGAAAAATGACACGTATATATGACACATAAGCAAATCATTCTGGTACCGACACGTAAGATTTTTGACTTCGCAAATAATAGTATAGATCTCGTGTTTTGTTGTAAAAGTGACGAATACTGTGTTGTATTAGATAATAAATACCAGATATTATATATAAAAAAAGAAGATTTTAATACATAAATTTCGAAAAAGAAGATTCTAATACATAAATTTTGAAGAAAAAATCATTTCATTTTCAACTTTATCCATATATGAAAAACAAAACAAAAAGTTGACAAAAAAAAAAATTAGAATCTTAACTCATGGTAGGCCTAACTCATGCACTCTATTATAAAATAGACGTCGATTAACAATTAGGAAATTGAAAAAATAAAGATAGTTAATATTACACTTGAAGAAATTCGGATAAGTAATAATGTGTTTATTTTTTTCTCTATTTCACTCATTTTATGCGCAAATAATTCAAAGAAAGATATGTTAACACGGAGTGATAGCATCTATAGTAAATTTAGTACTTTTTGTTTGATATCCGAAAAAACTGATTATCAAATAATATTAAAATTTTAATTGGTCTATTATAAAAAAATTCTTAAACATATATATGTATTTTTGCCGACAAAAAAACATATATAATACGTATTTTAATAGAATCGTCTCTTCGATGTCTATGGAGTCGAAAAAGCTAAAGACGGTGAAGGATAACACGAAGAAGACTATTGAGCCGTCCGATTAATTATGGTTTATTTTCTAATTACGGCTCTTTTACGTGTCTTTTCTTGTGACCTTTCCTCACTCCCGAAAAAGGTTTTTTTTGGTTTGTTCACTATTCATTTTTTTCCTTTCAATATTCGAACAGAGAAAAATCCAGAGACAAACACAAAAGAAAACCCCTCTCTCTCTCTCTCTCTCTCTCTTTTGTCTCTTTCTCCGTCTCTTTCTGTCTCCGCCATGACCAGCTCTTCCTCACCTTCACGCAAGGTCTCTCTCTCCTCATAACTCTCACTCTATCTCTGTATTCTTCGATTTTTAGATGTCCCTTTTAAATTTTTTTGAAAATTGTCATGACGATGATGCGTAGGCGTTAAGCAAGATCGCGTGTAATAGGCTACAGAAAGAGTTGTCAGAGTGGCAAGTAAATCCTCCGACTGGTTTTAAGCACAAAGTCACTGATAATCTTCAAAAGTATCATCACAAAACACACAACACAAATCTATATTTTCTTCCGATTTTGGAATTTTTGATGGACTGTTAATTTTTTTCCCTTTTTGTGTGATTGTAAAGATGGATAATCGAAGTAATAGGAGCACCAGGTACGCTCTACGCGAACGAAACATATAAGCTTCAGGTTGATTTTCCTGAACATTACCCCATGGAAGCTCCTCAGGCAAGTTTAGTCTGAATTGTGAAATATTTTGATTGAAGAAGTTTTGGGTTTTGCGCATGTTTCTAACTAAAAAGGGAACCAATTGTGTGTTGTGAAGTTTGCTAGAGAAAAGAACTACAACAAAAACAAAATTAAATCCTAGAGAAAACGAGTTAAGGCAAATACCCGTCTTAGTTTTCTTTATTATTCGTGTGAATAACTATACGAACCTGTAGGATTCATATTATTAACGTCCCAAAACCCAATTCCACTAGGAATACGAACTCCTAATCTTAATAGGATATTTTTGCATTCCTCTAGTCGCTCGAGAAGGCTCCATTGCAGTCATATCTATAGATTGAAAGTCACCTAGGAACAACATTTTGATATCTTCACTCTTCTCCAAATTTCTTAATTGTGTGATTAATGGACTTGTAATCTGATGTGGCTATACTAACTTAACTAGTTGGTTTAGAGTTTTTTTTTGTTTGTTATGGAGATGTTTTTATTTTTGTTTTCATGTTTCACCTCAGGCAATTAGATTGAGATAGTGACATTCTTTCTATTTTCTTGTGTGTTTTGATGTTTGAGCAGGTAATTTTTGTTCCACCTGCACCGCTACATCCACATATTTACAGCAATGGACATATTTGTTTAGGTATTTTTATTCAGCCTCCTCTTGTTTCTTCACTTCTCTTCACTCTCTCTGCACATATGATCTTGTTTTTTGGTTTCTCTGAAATGCTTTTAACTCAATTTGTGAATGTGTGCCTCTTCCTGCTCTGTTTTTTTTTCTTTTCTTTCGGAACATTGCCTTCTTTTTTTTGCTTATTAGTCTTATTATATAGGATGCATATGTCAATGCATCTGAGGAAACCAAAACCGATGCATATGCATTAATAGGTTGCTCACAAAGATGTAATGTGTGGTGAAAAGAGAGCAATATAGTTATGCCTTAAGAGTGCTAAATTACAATGTCAACGATATTGTTTAGTCTATCCATTTCCTAGTCTGTCTGATGCATAAAGAAAACCGATACCGTCCCTTTTTGACCATATGCTCCTCAGAATCTTTTACCATGATCATAGCGGCCTCTGAATTGCTAGCTAATTGCTATTAACTTGCACATCCTTCTTTTGTTCTTTATATGAAGCAGAAACCATATTACTTGCACATTATATAGGGATTCACAATATGTTACATTACGTAATCAAGAATACGCTTCATGATGCTGAGCTTTTAGCCAAAAACTCCAATAGAATTATGTAACACTCTCTTATTCCTTTTTGCAGATATTCTATATGACTCATGGTCTCCAGCAATGACGGTGAATTCAGTCTGCATCAGCATTCTCTCAATGTTGTCGAGTTCACCGGAAAAGGTTTCCACACTTTTTAACTCCCAACGACTTTGGATCATTACTCTCTGACCCATCTACACAACTCTTACTATCTTCAGTTGCTTTATATCTGTCTCATCTCAGCAACGTCCGACTGATAATGACCGATATGTGAAGAACTGCAAGAACGGGAGGTCTCCTAAAGAGACAAGGTGGTGGTTCCACGATGACAAGGTATGATGATGATATCACCTAAAATCAACGAGGTTTATATAGTATTCCTCAGACTGAATAGTACTAATTGGAATTCCTCATGTCCTACTTTTTTTTTGTTCTCTCCTTTTGTTTTTGTATGGATTTGTTATGTATAAAAGGCATTTGAAATGTCTCATACCTGAATTTACACACCTTCTGTTTTTGTCCTCTCTGAAGTAACCTTGGAGAATTTAGGCAAAACACTTGTATTTGGAGCCATGTTTTTGCCATGTATGTTCATTCAAACTATATAAACGCACTTTGTTCAATTGAATAATATTAGACGCCACAGGTAACATATGATCCTTTGATCCACATTGTATGTTAGAGATCTTTCTTTTCTCGATCCGGAAAGAAAATTAAGAAATAATAAGTTTTATGGTGAATTTCTCAAGTAGTTGAGATATATGTCTCCCACAAACTCTGTTTTAAATTGTTCAAACTGCACCGAGACGCTAAGGCCCGTGCATTGCTTTGTGGTAAGGCGCACAAAGTCGTGTGCATGGTATAGATTTTGATGCATTCATCATTCTTAATCTCATAATAACATACATTTACAATAAAAAACCAAAATACCAAATCCACACTATTAAAAAGTACAGAAAAGCAGCAAACATAATTGTTATTAATAATTGTTAGATAGCCTAAAACATTAAAAATCTATATCACCATGATCATCGTTCTTATAATCATCATCATAATCATCCTCGCAATCTGTTCCTAAATCCTCTTCCATCTCATCATCATTTTCGTCATCAACCAACGACATAACGCTAGAAGATGGTTTGCGACTACGATATGATTGTGAATTGGTCTGAACGGAACTAGTAGCAACACCCCCTCCTTTGTCAGCTATAGTTGCTCTTGCTGCTCTGTTAAAATAGCTAGGATCTTTAGCTATTGTGGCTTGGCTAGCCACATTTCATGTCAAGTCATCATCGTCAAATACAAAATCATGATTTTCATCATTAGAAGAGTGCTTCCCACCCATTCTCCCAAATAGCCACTCATTACCATCATCATTCTTGTTCAAGAGAATAGGATCAATGGTATCACTTTTTGTACGGACTTTACGAAGCAGATTATATTTCACAAAAACCATATCAGTTAATCAACTCTGTGCCAATGAACTTCTTTTCTTGGCATGAAAATGTCAGAGATAAGGATAATAAGTTGTAAAATCTGGAGAAATAATGTTATCATGTAAATGAAAGTTATTACTAGAATTAATGTTACTTATAAGTTGAAAACACCCTAATTTCTCTCACAACCGGTAACACTACAAGTGAGACTAATAATAATCTTTAAAGCAGGTTTTAAAGGTTTGAAGCTGGCGATGCGTAACACGACCATTCTGCTATTAAAATGCAAAAAAAAAATTTAGCTTACATCTAATGTTATCTAGTGATTTTGTCGACCTAAGCTTAATTGCCAAATTATGAGCAAAGAGACATGTAGCATTTGTAAATGCATCCAACTCCATCATTATTTTGTTTTCAATATCACCATCTGGAACCAACCTTGAAATGCAAGCAGACAATCATCTGAATTCAATGATTTTGATTTCCTAGATAGATATGATTGGTAATCAAGTTTGTATATCAAAATTTTTGGAATGTACTAATAGCACACAACATTTAAAAAAAAAACACATCATTATGGCATTCATTATAATTAACCACCATCAAAATATGAAAAATTGTATAGAAAAAAATTCTACGAAAAAAAAAGAAAGAATAATGAAACAAAACTTCTAAACAGTGTCTTATAAATTTTTTAAAATAGTCTCTTAGAAATAATAAAATCCACGCTGTTGATCTAACCAAGCCAGCAACTTTGGCTTGTGGTGGAATTTGTTAATTCAACAGCTTAAAAAGGTAGGCCAGACAGTGCCATAAAGAGAATTCCAAATGATGATGGTAGATTATATAAATGTGCAGAGAGAAAGAATATCAAGAGAGTCAAGTGATTGGATACAGAGTGTGTTCTGTAAGTGAACTCCAAGATCTTTAAATAACTAGATGATCACATAATAGATTCATAAGAAGGTTTATAGAATTACTTGCATTCATAGTTGCAAAGAGAAAAGGATCTTCCCTGGATGTAAGATGAAATGTTTAAGCTAGGTGATTAGATTTCTCTCCCCTTGCCTAGAACTTTTAGGTGTTATTTTTCTTAAGTCTTGCATATATGATGGTCAAATGGCAAGTATTTATAGGTGGAGAGAGGACCTAATTCCTCATTAGGGTTTCCATAGATTTAATCTCAATCATCCATTAAAGTAGAGATATTTAGGAATTACTCTTTTATTTCTAATATATTTAGACACCAATTATATTTAATAATAACATTATTCTAATAGAAAATGGATGAATATAAGACCATATTATAGGGATGAATTTATTTATTACAGTCTCTTACTTGGTAAATCCATTAATTTTTTCTTTATGGAATTATAAGGCCGGCATAATATGCTATTATTTTATTTTATTCATTTGGTCATCATAAGTGTCTTGACTACTCTAATAAGTAATGAGAGTCATGGCGGTCACACATCATTATGCAACATGATTCCTTCCATGTATTACTGCATTAATCACCTTCACATGTAGACTATAAACATGAGAAATTATCAATATCTTAGAGTATTTGTATTGTTTTGGCTAAGGATATCCACAGATAACTTAGGTTGAGTAATTCAATATATCATTCAATAAAGTTTTATGCATATATAATTTTTGAAATTATGTGATTCCCACATAAACACTAGAATTTCTTATCATATGCATAAAGATAATTTTATGGTGTTGATTATGAAGCCTAATTAAAACTTATTGTATCTCTATGAATGCAGCATCGTTTCCAACTAGTTTGTCATCCATGGTCTCTAATGTTCCCATTCTCACTGAAACCAACTTCTCAGAATGGAAAGAGAAAGTTGAGTTCACATTGGGAATACTAGACTTGGATTTGGCCCTTCGTCAGAAGGATGCACAACCACTTACCGAGGATAGTACTGGGGATGAAAATGATTTCCATAAAGCATGGGAGAAAGCGAACAGATTGAGCATTATGTTCTTAAGGATGAAAATTGCTAGCAACATCAAAACTTCCCTTCCAGTTGCAGAAAAAACTAGTGCTTATCTAACAGCTATTGAAGAACGGTTTAAGATTGCAGATAAATCCCTTCCTGAGAAACTTATGGCAGATCTTATAACCATAAAGTATGATGGCACAAGGTCTATGCATGATCATTGCATTGAAATGACCAACCTTGCAGCTAAGCTAAAGCATTTGGGAATGAGTGTGGATGATTCATTTCTTTTCCAATTTATCCCGAATTATTTGCTTCCTCAGTATGGACCATTTCAGATCAATTACAATGCCATCGAAGAAAAATTGATGTCTAATGAATTGGCCAATAAATTGGTCCAAGAGGAGTCTAAGCTTGGTCGTGGAGGTATTAAGGTTGCCCACTATGTCCAAGGAGCTGGATTAAAGCTGGGAAAAGGCATCATCAAATGAGCCATAAAAGAGCACCACCCAAAAATAATGAAGTTGCACAAGCTAATGAGAAGAAAAAGGCAAAGAAAGATGACCGATGCAAATTTTTCAAAAAGTCTGGATACTTTCAGAAAGATTGTCAGAAAGAAAAGAATGGTTTGAAAAGAAAGGTAACTCTATGGGTTCAGTACGCTTTTTTGAAACCAATCTTACTCATGTTTCTTCTAATACTTGGTGGATTGATAGTGGTGCTAATGTACATGTAACCAATTCCTTGCAGGGATTTGTTACAACCTGGACCATAAATCCAAGTGAAAGCTATATTCTTATGGGTAACCAAGACCAAGCGCCAGTTGAAGCTAGTGGCACTTATCGTCTCATTATGGATATTGGATTTTGTTTGGATTTGTACCAAACTCTTTATGTTCCATCTATTTCTCGTAATTTAGTTTCATTAAGCAAACTTGATTTGGCTGGTTTTAATTCTACTCAAAGAGATGGTTGTTTCAATTTATTTCTGAACTCTAATCATATTGAATCTGGAATATTAGTTGATGGCTTTTATAAGTTAATTTTAACTGATCAATCTTTTGAAACACATCTCACCCTGCAAGATAAATGTGGCTTTAAGCATAAAACATGTACAAATGACTTGTATTTTTGTGGCATAAAAGGCTGGGACACATTTCCAGTGAAATAATTAAAAGATTGGTAAAAGATGGAGTCATTCCGACTCTTGATTTTACTAATAACAAAAAATGGATGAATATAAGATCATATTATAGGGATGAATTTATTTCTTACATGTTCCTCATGGAACCAGCTGATTTTGATCAGGTCTTCCAAATCTACTAGTTAAAGGATGCATGAAATACCATAGAAGCTGCCAACAATGCTTTTTAGAATCTAGTATTGGGTTCATCTGCTTTATTATGTAAACCAAGATGAGAGGATCCAAATGCAGCTTCTAAGAGCATCTCTAATGTATTTCTCCATTTTTATTTTCAAAATAGAGTAACTCTAAAATAGTTCAGTTTCTCTTCAATGTATTTCTCCATTTTTAACTTCAAACAAAAAATATTATAAAAATATTTTTTATTTTTTATTTTATAATTAATTACTAATAATACAATTTAGTTATAAAAATCACAAATAAACTCATTTATTTTTTTCTTTCGTTTTTAAAACTTTCATAAAATATAATACTACACAATATTTAAATAACAAAATAAAGTATATTTTAATTTAAATATCACCATTTATGTTATTTCTAGTTTCAGTTAGTATTATTATATTTTTGATTTTCTATCCTCAATTTAAAATTTATCTATCCTTTATTTTGAATTAAGTATATATAATATAAACGACTAAATTATAAATAAAAGATTTAGTTTTAAGAATTTATAAAAAGTGAATGACTAATTAAGTTAAAAAGTTTAACTGCAAAATGAAGTTGAAAATGGGGTTATTCCATATTTAGGACATCTCCAACTCTACCCCATTTCTTCCTCCAAATACCATTTTTTTGGGGTGTGGGGGGGAAGGGGGGAATTCTTTTCAACGATTTCATTTTCACCTCCAAAATGGGGAATGTTATTTTTTCCTCCAAATATGGAATAGCTACATTTTCGACTCCATTTTGCAGATGAACTTTTTTTATCTACAAAATAGTCCTTCATTTTTATTAATTATTAAAACTATATTTTTATTTATAATTCAATCTTTCATACTAAATATATTTAATTTAAAATTAAAAAAAGATAAATTTAAAATTTTAGAATAGAAAATAGAAAATATAATAAAATTAACTAAAATTAGAAATAACATAATATAAAATACAACAACTGATTTAATAAAAATTTGGTAAACTGCACGATTCAAAGAAATCAAAGATAAAAACGCTCATTTCTCACTTCGAAATGCTTTAATTGATCATTTGTGAAAAAATTATTTAAATGGTGATATTTAAATTAAAATATATTTTGTTTTCTTATTTTAAATGATGTGTAATGTTTTTTTGTTTTGACATATGTGTAATGTTATTTTATATTATATTAGTTGAATTTAAAATAATATTATAATTTATGAAAGTTTTAATAGAAAAATAAATGAGTTCATCTGTAGTTTTTATAAATAAAGTGCATTATTAGTAATTAACAAAAAAATAAAAAAGTAAGGATATATTTAGAATATTTTTTTTAGAGTTGAAAATGGAGGAATACATTGGAGAGAAATTCAAGTTATCCAACTTCATTTTGAAGACAAAAATGGAAGAATAAATTAGAGATGCTTTTAGAGGAAAAAATAGTATTCTTTCATTTTGGAAGTGAAAATTGAGTAGAATTAAAAAAGAATTTTCTTTAAAATGGTATTTGGAGGAAAAAATAGGGTAAAAGTTGGAAATGCTCTAATGAATAAGCTTTTGATGGTCTTGAGAACTAGTTTGGAAAAGTAGTTAATCAGGATTATGTTGGTTTGGAAAAGTAGTTAATCAGGATTGTTTTGGAAGTCAGAATGCTGAAACCAAGAGGCTGCTATAAACCAAAAAGCTTTGAATGGTCGTGCGAACCTCTTGGGGCAAGTTAATTAGGAGGATATTGGAGGTCGGTGAATCGCCATTCGTCGTTCTCTCGTCTCATATTGAAACTCGTCAAAATTCCCCTCTTCAGCCTTATTCATGGCTGAATAAATCTATCCCATACGTGGCATTTTCTCTCCATTAACTATTCTAAGTACTTTAACAAGCAGATACTTGCGAGCATTCTCAAAGAGTACGAAAAAAACACTAACATTTAAAATTAGCATAGCTGCGAACTTGTAAAGTTTGCAACATTTATTCACACCCAAAGACTTTCAAGCCACCACATAAAGAGACCCCTAAAAGGTCACATGTCTTTAAAAAGATGACTCAAAGTAAAAGTTTTCAATAAGGCAACAAAGGATTCTTATTAAACACCAAACATATTAGCAAATAGATAGACAGAGAGAAAAGCAGCACACACATAGGGTGGATATGCTTAAATCAAGCTGCAGCAACAGCTTGACTGTGCTTTTCGAGCTTGGCATGGATTTCATCTTTCGCAGCACCAACAATCTTATCCAGGATCGCTTCTTCCCTCATGAAGATAAACGTCGGCATTGCCTCGACTTCAAATGCCTTAGCAACATCCTGAAGAACAAGAACACACGAATCAAGTTTAAAGGTTTGTACTACAACTAATTACTAACTACTAACATAGTAAAATGGTTTTTTGTTTTCAGATATTGAATATTTGAAAAGATTTGATGAAAGAAACTCACACTCAATTTGTCAACATCGACCTTGAAGAAAACAACGTTGAGGAACTTCTTGGCATATTCTTCGAAGATTGGTGCAATGAAACGGCAAGGTGGGCACCATACCGCAGTGAAGTCAATCACAATCTGCGTTTTAGGTTTTGAACAAAGAAGTGAAGCTAAATCAGATAAATTACAAACATAATTACACAAAAAGGCGAATTTTAAAGTGATCTTTAGGAAAATGAAACAGCGAAAACTTGAGTTTGCATCATTCACTTATGGTTTTGGTACAATTTCAATCCCAAATTCGAAATTTCTGTCCAGATAATTAGGGTTTCAATTCCTCAGATCCGGAGATTCTAAGACTCTTAAATCGAAACTATTTAGGGTTATTAACTAATCAAACTCCAAAATACAACGAGGTTCGTAATATACAAAAAGCTAATTCTGAATCCGTCAAATCCAAATTAACATCAATCGCAAGCTAATTTATATCCAAAACTCCAGAAATCGGAGTAAACTTCAATCAGAAATTCCTAGATCTTGATTATCAAATCGATTAAAACCCTAAATCCTAATTATTCAAATCGAGAGGAAAAAAAGTACCAGTTTCTTGGATTCTTGGGCGGCCTTGAGCTTCTCGTTCCAGTCCTCGACGGTCTGGCAAGCGATGACTTCTCCTTCTCCGGCCATTTTTTTTTCAGAATTTGCTTTCTCGTTTTCTTCTGTGTGTTTCGATTTTTGATTTGATGAAAAAAATCTTTGTCTTTGGGTCGGTTCTTATAGAAAAAGGAAGGCGGAGAGAATCTTACTAAAGAAAATGTTATTTATTTGACTTTTTCCTCATTAAAAATGTTACTTAAATGGAATAATATAATAATATATTAACGGAAATGACCAAAAAGGTGTTTTTAACCACCACGTGGAAAATTCGACGCGTGATTGGGAAATCTAACGGCTGAGATCGAAAAGAATCAGCTTTTGATGACGCGTGTAGTGTACGCTCGTTGAAAATAGAAGAATAATACTAGAATAGAGATAGTCTTTGGGTTGTGAGAATAAAAATCCGGTCCACTAAATTGGGTCAATTAAATTTCAGTTTGTGCTCTAAGCTTAATCAAATTTCAGTTTGTGCTCTAAACTTATGAGTTTTTGTAATTAAACAAAAGAAAAAGTGAAAAACTATAAGGTGCCAATTTTTTGTTGACATGTAAATTCGGTTTACTAACTTTATGGTTTAATTACAACTGAGTGTTCGCGTTTAGTGGTAAACTGTGGGCCTGTGGCAAGTCAAAGAGTCTAAGTGAGGTTAAATACGAAAACAAGATAATGGACGGAGTTGAAATGTTTATCTGAATATCTATGGACAAAATAGATCAAATGTTGTTATGTAGAACCGTTAGTCAATTTCAGCGAGACTAAAAACTTGTTTAAATTAGTGAATTAAGGCTTCTAAACATAACAGTTGGAGTCTTAGATTTAAAGATCATTCATGACATATAATGCAAACGGAGATGTTAAACACAGAGTATAAAGCAAAGACAAAAGTAACAAGCAAGATATAATTTTTTCCACTCGGAATTCTATTATCTATACTTCTCTCAACTCCAATTTAGCTCTAAAATCAAACATTTGTTTTTGTTATTATGAACCTTTCTTGATGATGAAAATAGTAAATTAGTTTACTCCGCAAAAACTTTGTCCAAATCGCTTATGAATCTTATTTGTTCCTGTTGAGCAATAAATTTGTTGTTTATTACTCGATAGTTATTTGGTTCTTCCTTTCCTAAAATAAGTCAAAACCCTATATTAGTATATGACCGTACGATCAACTGTTCCACATCACTCGAGAATAGAAGCAACAAACCAAAGAACTACGTTGCACTCTCTTTGCATAGTCTCAGGAAACTTTGACATGAGTCAACGCATTAATGCTGCATTTTATATTTTTATTGCTCTTTGAGAGCGCTAAGAGAGCGGAAAAAGACCGATTAGTACCTCAACACTATAATCTGGTACCAATAAATACCCAAACAATTTTGACAGGTTAATCAGTACCTCAACATGTTAAAAGTGGTAAATACATACCTCAACAATGTTTTTATGGCCAATTAGTGTATTGACTTTCTTTCTGTTAGTCAAATCCGTTACTTAGCAAACGGAATCCAAGTCGGATGCCACGGTGGATAGAACCCAAAAACGACGTCGTTTTAGTTTAAGAATCTGAGAAAAAAAATATAGCAAAATGACGCTGTTTTAAAGTATTAAACAGTTTTAGAAAAATAAGCAAACGTCGTCGTATAGATTTAGAACAGAAATTAGAATTAAAAAAACCAAACAAAGTCGTGACCTTCTTCTTCGTTTTTTCCATCGATTGAGTGAGATTTCAATTTAGGGTTGGTGGAAAAGGTTAATTGCTCATGAGCCAGAGTTGTTGATTGGGTTTATTCGGATCTTTGTGGGTGTCTCAATTATCGAGAAGAAATGAGGTAAATGGATTATTGATTTGTTAGGGTTTAGGATTGAAGTTTATCGATAGTACCTTTTGCTAATTGCTTTTGATTTGTTTATTGCTTTCCATTTGTTTAATTGCTTCTGAATTGTTTATTCATGACTGATAGCAAATTTTAATTCTTTTTTTCAGTGACGATTGCATGTTCCAAATCTTTTACGGTGGAAAGTTTGGAAGTATGAAAATGGCACGGTTTACTACGACGGTGGATCGGTGCAGGAACTTCTTACACCGGCGGTTTCATTGTTTGAGTCGTTGCCTGTTAGTATGTATGGGCAGAAAATCTGGTATAAATTACCATACGAAGGATTGAATGAGCTTAAGATATTGTGTAATGGAGTGGAAAATTTCTAGAAGATGTGTTTAGCGGCGAAGTGGACTAATGTTATCGATATATATATGGAGGCGGATGAAGATAGTGAAGGAAATGGAGATGATGGAAATCAAGAGATAGTATCAAATTTCGGTTTGATAGGAAATGGAGATGATGGAAATGGAGAGAGAGACGAAGAAAGAGAGGAAGTCAGAAGCGATAGAAGAGAGGAAGAAAGAGGGGTCAGAAGAGACGAAGAGAGAGATAGTATCAATGGAAGAGATGAAGCATTTCTGTGTGATGAGGAAGCTCGTGTCGAAGCCGTAGTTGCCACATTTGTAGACGAAGAGGAAAATGATGATTATGGAAAACAAACTCCTCCCACATCAGATAATGAAGGAGAAAAGACAGAGAAAACTTGTTATGATAGGTGGAGAAGAGGAAGTGGAGAGCTAAAGGTTGGACAAGTCTTTGAAAGTGTCGAAGAGTTTAGAGAGGCTGTGTTGGAGTATGCTTTAAAAGGCGGGTGAATATTCAGTACACAAGATGGGCGGCTAAAAAGTATACAGCTAAGTGTGGTATAGATGAATGCAACTGGAGAATCTATTGTTTATATGAAGAATCTGTTTCTCAGTGGATGGTTAAAACATTTCAAGAGGACCATACTTGTTAAGGGTCGGAAAAGAAAACCAGAGAAGAGGCTCAAGTCGATTACGGAGTCTCCAACTAAAGGGAAAAAGCTAACCAACCATGGGCGAACAATGCATTGTTACCGGTGTGGTTTGCCGGGACATTACTCTATCAAATGTCCTAATGATGGAGTCCCATTTAAGCCTAGAAAGCCTCGGAAGCCTAAAAAGAGCAAGACATCAGAACAAGTTCAGGAGACTATGACACTCGGTAGTGGAGAAGGTCCTTCTCAAACTCAACCATCTCAGACTTAGGACAGTGATAAGGTATTAATCTTCTGATTGTTCTTTTTTGTTGACGTGAGAATACAAATTTGCGATGATAAAAAAATTGCTAATTTTGTAGGTGAAGATTAAATCAGCAGGAGAGGAGAGTAATTTTTTGTGTGTTCATCTCCTTGGTCTTGAGTTATTGATAGTCTAAACCCATGTTTTTTTTTTTGTTTTAGGCTTAAGCTGTTTTCTATGTAAAACGATGTTGGTTATTCACGTTAAACCTTGTTATGGTCACAATGGTATTAATTTATTAAGAACTATATTATGGCTTTCAGTTTTTTTAAAATTTTCAGTTGGAATTGGTTTTTGTAATTCCTTATTTCGAATAAGAAACCAACACAACAATTTAAAATTCCTTAAATCCATCATAAAAATCTCCAACAGCTCCCCAACAAGATTCAGTCACAATTACAACATACAGTGAAAGAGTAGACGTAATTAAGACAACAACAAAAATAACCAGCAAACACAACAACTCCACACACAATCATACACTTCAACAAACGTATCTCAGCTTTCATTGTCTCCATCTCCTTCTCATACCCACGACCAACCATCTTCAAGTCTTTTATGTCTTTCTCAATGCAATTGACCATGTCTTCACAAGTTCTTGTCTTCATCTCTAAATTCTTCATTGTCTCCTTCATGAAAAACAACTCTTCCACCATAGATTCATCTGTCCATTTAAACAAATGGTAGTTGTCCTAGCAAAATATACAACATTTACATGAATTCATTGTAAGAACAAAATTTAGTTAATCTGGGCTTTTGTTTACCTTTTCAGAACCTTTTGGACAACAATGAAAGAGCCTTCCAGGATTTTTTGAAGTTCCTGAAGTTTTTATCAATGAACTTTCTCCACACCTACAAGCATTTGGCATACCCTTCTGTCCTACAGGTACACCTCGACTCATACTGGCAGTAAAACCTGCAAATTGTGAAATCAAAATTAAAATCTCTGATTTGATTTTCTGAAAGTATTTAAATAAAATCAAAATCAAAATTGCAAACCTAAACCTACCTGGAATCTCCGAAGAAGCGTTCGAATTCGACTATGAAGGCATTCTGATTTGATTTTGAACTCCACCGCAAAACCCTAACTATGGCTCTTCCCTGTTTTTAATCGACGAAGAAGAGAGAAGAAGAAGACATAGTTGCTTACTTTTTTTTTAAAACTGTTTAATACTTTAAAACACGTCGTTTTGCCATATTTTTTTCTCAATTAATTAAACTAAAACGACGTCGTTTTTGGGTTCTATCCACCGTGGCATCCGACTTGGATTCCGTTTGCTAAGTAACGGATTTGACTAACAGAAAGAAAGTCAATGCACTAATTGGCCATGAAAACATTGTTAAGGTATGTATTTACCACTTTTAACATGTTGAGGTACTGATTACCCTGTCAAAATTGTTTGGGTATTTATTGGTACCAGATTATAGTGTTGAGGTACTAATCGGCCTTTTTCCCGCTAAGAGAGGAGATTAATGTCAACTGTTACAAATTTGAATTTAATTTCATATATTACAGATTGAAAATCAAGTTAATATCCAATCTAAAGAAAATATTTGTTGACTAAGTTAATACAAAACCTCAAGCAAATTTGGCCCAAAAAAGAACTTAGTTGGATCAGGGACTCCACCAAAGCTAAAGTCCGACTCCACGCGCATGAGTGATCAATCTCTCCCTCTCTCCAGTAGACCAAATTGCGGTCATGTCTACGTACCAGTGGCGGAGGCAGGAAAATTATTCATCTGGGTCATAATATATATTTATCAAAAAAAAAACTGTATATAAATTTCATTAAACAAAAATTTACCATTGATAAACATCTCAAAGATGTACTCTACGTTCACTCATATTTTGAAATCGTTTTATTACAATTTCATTTGTGATAGTTTAATCAACTGTTTTTCAATTAAAACAAACTAGACAATAGCTTAAAACTCATCATTAAAATTATTATGTGCGGTCGTCTTCACAAATTTCATTGCAGAAAAATACATTTCAACGCTTGTGGTCGTGGAGGAATCAAACATAGCCACAAGCATCAATGGTGTGTGAATTTTAAATTATTTATAATAAATAATGAAACCACTTAGCCATATCTTAACAGATTTCCAACAAGTTAGGAAAAAAAATAAAAGAGAAAAGACTAAAATAAAACTTGTAAATTACTTGAAAATTAGTTTTACTGTTTTTCCTTCTTAAAAAACATTAATGTGCAGCTCTCTAAATTATATTGAAATTTAGAAAGGATACACAAATTATTTGAGTAAATACTATTTTAACATGAACTCTTATTTATAGTGGAGCTTTCCTTCAATATTATATCATTTGATTGATGTGAGATAACTAAAATTTTGTCATTAACTTTTATTCTATAATTTTTTTGATGGTTATTGGGTCAACATATATTTATTGGACTATATTTCTAAATTTCAGAGAGGTTAATTCTTGTTTTAGGCTTAGAAATAGTTCAATTAATAAAAAATCCAATAACAATTTAATAATTTTTATAGATTTGACCTGGGTCAGTTGACCCACCTCAATACATGCTGGTTCCGCCACTGCTACGTACTAAACTATGCTAAGAGTTCTTCAATATAAATACTAGATGATTTTAAATTAAACTTCCTGTTAAGAAATGATAAAAACTTCTATGTGTTTTTGTCTTCTAAAACTCTCACAATCACTTACACTTTGTTTGATCACTCGTGTGTCATGAACAGAAATGTAGATGACTCATAAAGTTTATCTAGTTCATGATCCAAACCAGTGTTGCTACGTCTGGCCGAGATTTACTCGTAAATCCATTTAAAAGCTTTGGTTACACAAATCTTTAAAGGAACACTCTGTAAATTCATTTAAACATTTATAAATAATTTTATAAAAGTGAACTGTTGGATTGTCAAAGTTTCAAATGTGCTGAAAAACTGATTGTTCCATCTTTAAGGTATCCAAAATTGAGGGTGAACTTCTGACGGTTTGACTTTGAGCTGAAAATCTGGTTTTCTATCCATTTTGCAAAACTTTTTCCTAAGTTTCCTGAAAAGAGTCTTGATACTACAAATACAAGAAAACCATAATAAAAACACTTAAAAGAAATAAAAAGCATTGAAAAAGCATTTAAAAACAATCCATAAAAGTGGTCAAAATACGGTGTTATCAACTCCCCCAGACTTAAAACTTTGTTTGTCCTCAGACAAAGCAAGAACCAAATCAGGTTAAGTGAAAAAAAGGAAATGCACAAATCTCAGAGATATGAACCAATAAACAAGGACTATTGATCGTACAACAATCACAACTTAGTCTAGAAAATTCTCACCAAGACACAAAAGATACTAGTCCACTTTTTCTGTCATGCAAAACTTAAACAATCTAAATCTCAATTCCAGTTAACTAGCTCTCTACATTCATTAAGTGCATAGTGAAAGTCTCATCAAAGACATCATTTAGGGTAGACGGCGTTTGGTATTAAGGGCTATTTAAGTGGTGGAGATAAAGTGTTTCGGGTTACTTGAAGATCTGGAGGATGCAAGATGTTATGCAAAACTGCAAGAGAGAGTGGACCTGTTGATGTCCGAAATTTTCAGTCACTTCTCATCGCCAAATGTTGTTGCATAATCCTTTCTCCTTTGTTGTGAACATCTACTTCCCCGAGACTTAAATCTTTTCCGAGAATCAGAAAGGTGATCGCAAAAACTCCAAATAATAGAACCAAAACTTTCCTCAAAGATTAAATTCGATTCTCCTAGACTCTCTAAGGTTTTTATTTTTTTCCTTTCTTATTTTTTTTTTCTTTTCTATTTTTTATTTATTTTTAAAGGGGAAACAACCTTTTATTAAGAGAGAGAGTCTAAGGGACGAAAAATATACCAATGTTTTGCAGTTTCTCTGAGGCAAACCAAGTTTTCTCTTTTGTTGAATCATTCCGGTGAAATTACGGCTCTCCGTATTCAGTGACTGAAAACTGCGCTGATCCTCTTTCTTTCCGATATTTTTGCACATATGTGCATATAAAGCAATCAAAAAACAAGAATGCATGTGGTTTAAAAGAAGTTGGGTTAGGTGGGAAGCTAGCTAAAGATGCATTCAGGATCAACAATGATTGGTAAAATGGTAAATGAGTCCTGAATGTATGATTCGTTTCCCTATCTAATGCTTCAATGAGAGAATTAAGTCAATGTTAAGTCCATATAAAACAGATCTAGTGTATTCCTTTATTTAAATCGAAATCATTCAAATTCATCTGGGGTACTTCATTTCAAATGTGCTTAACTACCGCCTAGTCTAGTCCTAAATCACGAATCAGCATGTCACTAGGGGATAATCTAAAAGCACATAGTCAATTATCATCAATTTATGTTCACAATTTCCTTTAAAACGTATTTTGTTCTGAAAACAGTTTTGAAAAATTTTAGGGAAAAAGCAAAAAATGTAGATAATGCAAGACTCATGAAAGAAAAGTGGTTAGAAAAGGATGAAATCCTCCCCCATATTAAATCACACTGTCCCCAGTGTCAAATAAATCTAGTTTGGATGAGAGAAATGCATAAATGTATGGAAAAGGTAAGCAAAAGAGAACTTACCTGAATCTGGAATGTTGTCGGGAATGAACCGGATCGATTCGCAAAGATGCGGGAAAATGCGGGAAGATGCGAGAAGATGTTAAATGGTGATGGGAAATGGTGGGGGAGTGGTGGATGAGGTGGAATGAGTCATGGTGAGGTCGAATGGGTGAAGTTGGGTCGAAAGTCGCTTGAACAACCAGTGGCCGCGGTCCGGACTCACACAACCGCATGTGGGACATGTTTGGCCATGGTCACGAGTATGGAACCATGATCAAGGTAGGGTTGGCTGTGGTCCAGACTCATGCGACCGTGGGGGCTTAAATGCGGCCTATTCCTGCTTCTCCTTGGTTCATGCTGGGCTGGGCAGTCGAGAACCTATCCTTCTTTTTGGTTTTTTTTTTTTGTTTTTTTTCTTTGTTTTTTTTGCTTTTTTTATTTATAAGAAACACTTGAAACTAAGTAAAAAAAGATCAATAGAAAAAGAAAGAAAATCCTAAAGAAAAACAATACTTAAATGTGTTGCCTTCCATTAAGCTCTTCTGTTTTAAGTCGTTTAGCTCGACTTGGTGTAGGAAATGGCTTAGTCCGATGAAGACCTTGTCCTAAGAGAAGTCTTTTTCAATCTCTTTTGTTCTGTCTAGCAAGTTCTTCGTCACTCCAAAGTTCTGCTTCAAACACCTCTGTTGCAGAATGTTTTCTTGCTCTGCTGTTAAAAGGAACAACATTAAAGAGGTTGTCCTTGTCGATATTAGCAAATGAGATCTTCCGATTCGGCCAATCCATAATGGCTCCGGCAGTTGGTAAGAAAGACCATCCAAGAATGATCGGATGTGAATCATCTTTGGTCTTGACAATGTAGATATCAACAAGAACAATGTAGTCTCTTATCCTCAAAAGAATGTCATAAGCTACTCCTTTAGGCTTGGCACTGGATTCATCATCTAAGTTGATCCTTGTTCTAGTCCTGCGCAGATGCTTAATACCAGCCTCAAAGCAGTTGCTTTGGACATCATGTTGAGACAAGCTCCAGAATCACAAAGATCATGGTTAAATCTTTCACGTCTAATAGAACAAGAGATAAGAAATTGACCTCTGTCTTCGATTTTATGCAGGGTTCGAACAGGTCTTCCTTGTTTAGCATGAATGAATAAGTCTTCTATCTCAGGAATAGATTCCTTGCTCTCACAGAAGTAATGGCCGATCATGTAGTCTTTGCAGACTCTGGCAAAGGTGATTCCTTCAGGTAAGCTTCGAACCACATCGTTGAACTCATCTAGTTTCTCCTTGCTGATATTGTTGGTGTAATAGCTGCATTCTTCAGGTTTTTGGAGATGAATGGAGT